AACTTGTGGGCGAGTTGACTTGTGGCCGAGTTGACTTGTGGCCGAGTTGATTTGTGGCCGAGTTGGCTTGTGGACGAGTTTGCTGTAGCCGAACTTTTTGTGACCGAGTTGATTTGTGGCCGAGTTGACTTGTGGCCGAGTTGATTTGTGGCCGAGTTTACTGTGTCCGAGTTGACTTTTTTCCGAGTTGACCTGCACCCCTAGTACACACACCAAATAGGACTAGGTCTACAGCACCCAGGAAAGAATTTGTATTGGCTCAAGAATAAGCTTTAAAATTTTAACATTGTGTACAAAGGGGGGGGGGGGAGCTGCGGCTCCCACGGCTCCCCCCTGGATACGTCCCTGGAGTGGTTTGTGGGGAATTCCCCAGTTTCAAGTTAAATTGAGCCTGAATAGGTAATCTAATGCAACAGTTTTTTTTTTAATGTGGGCTCTGTCCTGTTGCATCTCTACCAACCATAAAATCCACCGTGATTTCAAACATGGCATATAACAGATCATAGGTTATGTTCAGACACTAGCGTGACATAAATCGAGATGTGTGAACTTGTGCATAGCAATATTTTCGCGCATTCATTTGCATACAGTGATCCAGCAACAGACCCGATATTAGTGTACGCTACTTAGTTACGACAGTCATGCATCAATGATTTTGAACTCGGCCAAGATTTTGGCCAATCACAATAACCCATGGTGTAAAATGAAAATAAATCGCGTAATTACGAATACAAATATTTTGTGCGAATCACCCAGTCTACATATATCATTAGTCACACTATGGATTAATGTACGCCCGGTGTCAGATGCGCCTGGCATATCTCCCAGGTCTCAATGTAGCCATACTAACCATATTAAATATATGTAAAGACCAGGGAACAGTGGTAAAGATATTATATGTTGAAGTCGATCAAAACAATGTATATAGGCATAATGAATAATTGAAGATAATCAATTGTACCATAAAGAACAATGGTCATTTTATTCAAATTGGCCTTAAGATGTTTCAGAACAGCAAAAAGTAAATTTATTAAAAAAATCAATTTGTGTACCTTGTACACAATTTGTGTACGATTTAGACTATGACTATTTACACTATGGCTATTTACCATGACTATTTACGATTTAGACTATGACTATTTACACTATGGATTAATGTACGCCCGGTGTCAGATGTGCCTGGCATATCTCCCAGGTCTCAATGTAGCCATACTAACCCTATTAACTATATGTAAAGACCAGGGAACAGTGGTAAAGACATTATATGTTGAAGTCGATCAAAACAATGTATATAGGCATAATGAATAATTGAAGATAATCAATTGTACCATAAAGAACAATGGTCATTTTATTCAAATTGGCCTTAAGATGTTTCAGAACAGCAAAGAGTAAATTTATTAAAAAAATCAATTTGTGTACCTTGTACACAAATTGTGTACGATTTAGACTATGACTATTTACACTATGGCTATTTACCATGACTATTTACGATTTAGACTATGACTATTTACACTATGGATTAATGTACGCCCGGTGTCAGATGTGCCTGGCATATCTCCCAGGTCTCAATGTAGCCATACTAACCCTATTAACTATATGTAAAGACCAGGGAACAGTGGTAAAGACATTATATGTTGAAGTCGATCAAAACAATGTATATAGGCATAATGAATAATTGAAGATAATCAATTGTACCATAAAGAACAATGGTCATTTTATTCAAATTGGCCTTAAGATGTTTCAGAACAGCAAAGAGTAAATTTATTTAAAAAATCAATTTGTGTACCTTGTACACAAATTGTGTACGATTTAGACTATGACTATTTACACTATGGCTATTTACCATGACTATTTACGATTTAGACTATGACTATTTACACTATGGATTAATGTACGCCCGGTGTCAGATGCGCCTGGCATATCTCCCAGGTTGTAATGTAGCCATACTAACCATATTAAATATATGTAAAGACCAGGGAACAGTGGTAAAGACATTATATGTTGAAGTCGATCAAAACAATGTATATAGGCATAATGAATAATTGAAGATAATCAATTGTACCATAACAATGGTCATTTTATTCAAATTGGCCTTAAGATGTTTCAGAACAGCAAAAAGTAATGCTTTATTAAAAAAATCAATTTGTGTACCTTGTACACAATTTGTGTACAATTTAGAAAGTCTTCTGGATGTTTCTTAACTTGTCATATACAGATTTCCATGATAAGTGCTGTATCGCTGGATTTCTGTTATAGGTTTCCATGACCTGAAAATATTATTAAAAAAAGTTTTGTTATAAAAACAATACATATAAACAGAAACAGTCAGAAAATAATAGGTATTAAAATATTGTATTCTGTGCTTGCATTGGCAAAACCTCAGTGAGTTTTCACTGATCTAACTTGCATTGTGAATTTACTTGGTGCAATATTTAATTGGGCTCACTTCCTTTAGAAAATTTCAGTAAGTTTATATTACTGTTGCATTGAGTACATTAGCACAGTGGTATTCAGTGTATCAGTACGGATTTCAAAACCTCAACCTCACAAAATATAAACCATAATATTGTAGTGCCAGTCACACCTGCTATACAGTTAGTTTTGACCCACAAAACCTTTGCTAAAAAGGTACACTTTCTCCATCAAAATGCTTCTTCTAGGAATGGAATGACCTGTTCGAAGCACGGACTCCTGTAGACCAAACCCAGTACCGTTACTATTTAAAATCGAGTGGGAAATCCACTCACGATGCAAATTTTTATCTGGATTATGCACAATACAGTCCACAAAATGTGGGAAATCTGTCTCATTTTCAACACACAAGTTAAAAGAGGTGGACCTTTCTCTCAGGCGTTAATGTATATGCAAACGTACCTGCGTATTATTCATATGAAAGTTTATTGGATACTTTTTAAGTGTTTGTAGAAATGTACATTTGTCCAAAATTATATTAATAAAAACCATATATTTTTTTTTAGGGTTCAGTAAATTTAATATTTTTCACTAATAGATCGTGAGTAGATTTCCCGTATGATTAAAAATCGTAATGGTACTGGGTTTGGTTTGGTCTACAGGAGTTTGTGCTTCGAACAGGTCATTCCACTCTAATATTTATCTCTTTAATATTAGGAGCTTGTGATTTGTGATGACCTAGGGCCTTCCATCACAAGAAACAGCATAGTGTCACTAATTGTTAAACTGAGTAATTAGCATAAGAATGAATATATTCAATTTTCTTTGGTTTTATCTTTAACCATTGCAACTGGACCAAGACGACCAGTTGATGTTCAGGGCCCTTTATTAAAAATATTAAAAATTGTTTGAATACAAATTAGATAAATATATGCAAAAGGACAAAAACACACAAATTTAAAATAATACCCATAAATATAAAGTATAAATATAAATGAATAATTAAATAATAATAATAATAATAATAATAATATAATAATAATAATTATATTATTATTGTTATTGTTATAATAACAATTGTTATTATTATAATAATAATAGTAATAATAATAATAATAATGATAATGATAATGATAATTATAATGATAATAATAATAATAATAATAATAATAATAAATTGGTCTCGCCCTTTGGGTTTGAATAAGTTTTCCTTGGATGCAGCCTGTGCCCGGGAGCTGACAGGGACCCTATCTCTGCCAAGTAATCATTTTTGAATTTTTTTTAACCTTTTGCAACATGTTTTATAATGTAAGTGTCCCAGAGTAGGGCAATGCAACAATGTGCTGAAGTAATTCTTTGGGTCACTAATGTTGGTTTCTGCATGGCAAGCTCCATTTGAAATCTTAGTGCATTAGGTCGTTGCAAATCCAAATCCTGATATTAAAGTTTTGAAGAGCTTCTTTAAATTGCATTGTACTAACCTTTGTCTTTGTTATTTTCTCCTTGAGTAGCCCTTCAAAAAGCGTCTTTAGAAGACCTATATCAAAGTCACTAAATATCGTTCGCGTTCGTCGACAGTTCTGTTATAAATAACATAATTGTTTAGTTCAAAACTTTTTTAAAAACTTATTTCATAACAAAGACACAAAAGACAAACAAAGCAAACCTTTACCAAAAAATGTCTTTTTTTCCCATACACATAAACAAATGTCATCAACCCCATAGCAATTCAAAAGAAAACAAAGTGGGTGTAGTCAGACGTCGCTAAAAACCTTTCAAAAGTGGTCCAGGGGGCAGAGGCCCCAAAATAGGACAAATTATGGATTTCAATTACATTATTGATTTTAGAGTCTATTAATATGTAAAAAAATAGCTTAAAAAAACGTTTCTCCCAGACAAATTGTGGTTTTCTCTGCAACGGTAAAATCCTGTGTTTCACAATGAATATCAACAAAATACAGCTGAAAAATCAAATAATGTATTTTAAATTGGGTGTGTACTACTGTACACCCAGGAATCTGTCTCTTATACACATCTAGATGTGGCTGTATGTAGATAATCAGACAATGTATTCTTCATTGTTTAATTTATCTTAGATTTTTAAGGTAAATTACAAGATCAGAAAACAAAAAAGTTTTTTTTAGGAAATACAAAAATTCTGGATACATCTTATTTTTTTTTTTTTTGGAAAGAGACAAATAGCTTAAAAAAAACGTTTCTCCCAGACAAATTGTGGTTTTCTCTGCAACGGTAAAATCCTGTGTTTCACAATGAATATCAACAAAATACAGCTGAAAATCAAATAATGTATTTTAATTCCATTTATTAATGGTAGAGTGAAATTTAATTTGATTGTACCAAAAAGTATTGAAACTTTCAGGAAGATAAACTTTGCGACATTTATGCAATAGGCCTAGAGTGAATTGTTCTCTAGTTTCTCAGTGACCAAAGTCTGCTGTATGTAGATAATCAGACAATGTATTCTTCATTGTTTAATTTATCTTAGATTTTTAAGGTAAATTACAAGATCAAAAAACAAAAAAGTTTTTTTTAGGAAATACAAAAATTCTGGATACATCTTCTTTTTTTTTTTTGGAAAGAGACATTATGAGAAAATAAAAAATTTACTCTACCGGTAATGTAGTGAATTCACCACATGTCTTGTTGACTTCTCGTTCTCCTCCTCCTTCCTCTTCATCTCGTTCTTCTTCTTCTTCTTCTTCTGCTCCTTCTTCTTCTCCCTCTTCTTCCATCTCATCTTCATTTGTTGCCTAGGAGTTGTCAAATTAAATAATAAAAATAAATTGCAGCAGAAACATTAGACATTCAGATGTAAGTAGAATTTATTATAGGTAAATGAATAAGATAAAGGTAAGTATAATATATTATGAATCTGTTAGTAAAAGTATTAATAATTGCAATTATAACAATATTTTATTACTTTTTGCCTTTTTGTCAATTTGTAAATTTTACCACAGTGTTTTTCTTTCCAACAAATCAATATAAAAATTAATCAATTATTTTTCTTCTCATGCCTTGGAATAGTTCGGTTGATAGATGGCATGTAATAAGTGCTGTTTTATTATTGTTATTATTATTATTATTATTAATAAGTAGAACATATTGCAAACAGTACGTACAATTCCTTTTATCTTGTTCATTAATCGCTTTGCTTGCAAAGCATCATGAGCGCCTTGTGAGGCCTTGTAATACTTATTCTGTGTTTCTAAAGAATGGTGCATGTACCCTGCAATAAGTCTTCTATTTTTCTCGATGTTGCTTTGACGCCAGGACTGTAAAATAAGAAATCCTAATTCTATAATCACATATATAAGGAACAAAAAAATAGAGTGAGAAAAACCAAAAAGCGAACTTAATCAACTGTCAAGTCATTAATTTCTTATATAATAGCAGCTTTAATATGTGATTTATAAATAATGAAACCAATTTTGGAAAACGGTAAAAGGAGGTACCAGGCTGCTGCTTAAAAAGTGTCACTAATAGTCCGCTTTAAAAGAGAATGGATCGATCATGATATAAATAGAGCACATTTATGTATGTTTTTAATCCAAGTGAAAGAATTAATCACAAGTTGAAATGGGTCTTACCATGGTGGCAAGTTGTTTGCGGAAATGGGTACAGTTAACACTTTTTCCTAACCGCACACCTAGATGGTGCCATAACCGAGTGAGATCCTGGCATGGTCTGACTTCGCCACCATTTTGACAAAGAAAGAATGCTGTATTATCTTGTTCACGCTGGTTGTGAACTACGTTTTTGTACATTGTCATCATATCTATCAAGTCCTTTTCCAGGATTAATAACGCAGGCCCTTGGGTTGCTGTTTTGTGGTTGCTGATCTAATTAGAAAAAAAAAAAAAAAAAAAAAACTTGTTACATCATTTTTTAGCTCTGATAATGAGTCCTAGGAGTTTTTTTTTCAAATGATTATTACTAAAAATACTGACTACTGCCCTTATCGGAGCTTTCGTGATTACGAGACCGTGTTGTATTATGGGGCTATATGAAATATGAAAAACCATGTAAACCATGTAAAAACCATGTAATATTGATTTTTTTTGTGAACACTTTAGAAAAAAAAGTTTGTAAGCATAGTTGAAAATTTGCATCTGTTTTAAAAGTTTATTTTAAGTTAATTGTACTTTAGTTATTTACAATTGATTTATTGTCGTTTTGTCTAAATTTTATTATAATTGTTGTGTTACATATCCATCACCAACTTTATCTTATTAATAATATTTAAAAAAATATACAAAAATCTGCTTCAAGCATTGCATTCAGGGGCGGATCAGTGGTTGGGCAGGTCGATTTTATATATGATATTCTTCATGTTTTGTTACTTACGGTGACACACCATTTATTTTGTATTTTCTGGGCGTTGTCAAATTCCTGGGTCGTCATATTCGTAATTACGCCTGACCGACAGGCATTGCGAATGCAAATCAGTGAAATAATGTAGCTACGAAAAAAAACAGTTTCTTCGTTGCTAAGTCCTGCATCATTTCTTAGCTTTTCTGGAAAAAAAAATGTTATTTATTGATTTGTTTTTATGTGAAACTAGGCATTTAAGAGCATTAGTTCATTCCAATTGGGTGTGTACTACTGTACACCCAGGAATTTGTTATAGCTGTTGTTACATGATGACAGCTCCTGCTACAACATTAGTAGATCACTTAAACATCTGTTTGTCTAATCACCAATCCATCTTCTGAACCCATATATCTCATATCAAAAACAGTTTTATGGGGCAAAATCCAATTATGGTTTTATACATTCTAAATCAACTTTGTATGTAAAATGTTGGAAATGAGTAGCTCCATAAAATCTAAATTTAATGTATACCAAATTGTTTTTGATTAGAACTTTTCCCAAACCTGGGAATAAATTATGTTGAATTAAAATAGAGTGGGTAAAGAGTTCTTGTTCCTCATGCAAATATAAAACTAATAGGGATAATAACATAAGATATATACAATCATATTAAACATTTGATGTCAGGAAAACTCAGGTATCAGATTTCTGATGTGTTTTCTAGTTTTGGAAAATATTTAACTTTAACTAGTTTTTTGAATTTTTTATTCTTATTTTCCGAACAACAGGAATGGACCCCTCTCATACATTTTCCACTCAATTTCTCCACCCTTGTCAAAGCCATCAAGTCAGGCTTTTTCCTCCCCTACTCCTTCAATATATCAATATTACCTTTTATAGCATTTGCCATCGGTGTGGCTTTGGCCATAAAGTAATTCTCTTCCATGCCTGTGATCATTTCGTCTAAAAAAGATTATTTATGCAATAAACTGTTAATAAATGCTTGTAGCTAATAAATGTTGCATTTTCACAGAATTGTCACGTGAAAAATATTTTGAATATTTTTGTCTGTTTTGATTGAATTGTAGTAAAACCTGTATATTTCTATATTAGTGAATACAATCTAATTAAAGTAGAATATTTCATTGAACGGGTTATTCCTTTACTGGAATAACAAAATTAAATACTAAATTTCATTAATAGAGTACATATAACATATTTATGTTTACTTAATTTCTGGTATTTTTTATACTAAAATATTAGACAAACACTATAAAGATAATAAACATTATTTAATGTTTTAAAACTTTACTACAAATTTTTAAATTTCAATAAAGCTTTGAAGTTAATTGGTGAGATAAAATCATTTAAAAAAGGCAAACTGTAAACACGGTGATTACTGAGATCTATAATGATTATTACCATACATGCATGTTGTCATGGGATTTTTTATTTAGGGCCGTCGACCAAGGCTCCGTCGGCCCCTTGGCTCGGACCCCTCTGTCGGACATGTCGGACTCCTTGTCAGCAAATTTCTGGTGCCACCACTGACCAGGCTGTTATGGGGAAATTGGGTTTCAGCAAAGTGGCCATAATAACTCGGCAAACTGGGTTTCGATAAACCAGTCAGAAATGTAAACACTAGCCTAAGCTAGCTGGGGCAATGTGCCTAGGCCTACAGTAGAAAACTAGTTACACACCATGGACTAAGACAGGCCAGGCCTAGCCTAGGCCCTGGTAGTTCCTTTGTATCTTAAATGACATTTTGAATGGAGAGGGCATGCATAGCCAGTATACTGGCCTAGGCCTCGACGTTCGTTAGTACCACTATAAGCCCTAGGCCTAAAACAGTAGGCTAAGTACTGTAGGCCTAGGGGTTGCTGGACAGAACGGCAAAAAACCAAAAAGGCAATAAGTCAAAACGGCAATGGGGAAAACGGCCAAAAACCAAAACGGCAACACAACCAGAACGGCAATAAAATCAAAAACAGCAAAAAGTCAAAACGGCAAAAAGCCAAAACGGCAATAGGCCTAAGTCAAAACAGCAATAAACCAAAATGGCAACACCTAGGTCTAGGCCTACTACAGTATGGTTTGGCAAAAGGGATAAATAAAACACTACTAATACTATGCTACTAAGCCAAGGTAAAGAAGTGCGAAAGAAAAGTAAAAACTATAAAGAACAACATTAATAATAATAGTATTAATAATAATAATAATAATAATAATAATAATATATCATACAAATTCAATAGTAAAAATATTGGGGGAATTACAATGTAAACATTTAAATACAGTAGTTGCAACTTCAAAATACAGACAAAATAAGGCTAAACAATTTATGTCATAAAACTTAAAAATGCACGAAAGAAAAAATAATAATAAATAACACTTTAAAGAAGAAGAACAACAACAACAATAATAATAATAATGATAACAATAATAATAATAATAATAATAATAATAATAGGCCTAATAATAATAATAATAATAATAATAATAACATACAATACAATTCAATAGTAAAAAGACTGCAATAAAAGCAGTGAACATTTAATAATAATAATAATAATAATAATAATAATAACAATAATAACATACAATACAATTCAATAGTAAAAAGACTGCAAAAAACAGTGAACATTTAAATAATTAAACCTTAAAATAGTGGCTAAACAATATTATGCCATGAGAAAGTGTAAAAACGGGAAAAAAATAATAATAAATAACACTTTATAATATAGGCCTAGTCATGTATGTGAAAAAAGAAACAAAACATACTAACAAAAAAACAAAACACGATTCAAAAAATTATGAACTGCTGCCCGCGCCCGGTGGCGCTTTATTCGTGGCATTGATTTTTGCACCTTTGTCGTTTTGGTAATGCCTATTGCCGTTTTGGTATTTTCATTGCCGTTTTGGTACTTATTTTTGCCGTTTTAGTCGTTGCCGTTTTGGTCATTGCCGTTTTGGTTTTTTGTCTTGGCTACCGGCCTAGCTAGCGCTCTGAGGATAGGTCTCTAGGCCTAGCTAGGTCTAGACGTACAAAATGCTATTTAATTTTAAGAACGATACTCAATAAAGCATTAATGAATGGTGAGTACCCTAAAGAAGACACTTGTCTATGATGATGGCCTGTTGTTGGTCGTTTGGATACTTTCCTCTTTGGTTCATTATCTAGGCCTAGGCCTACAGCAACTGTGTACGACTGTGACTCTGCTGTGTCTCGAAAAGAAGCTCCTCGACCTTCTCCAGCAGCAGAAGTCGATGCCTCCTCAGCAACATTCTTGCGATGGGAGTGCAGCGGTAAGTTATTATTATTATTAGTTGTAGTAACAACATGATCACCCGCATGGCTATTTCGTCGTTTAGACCTCATTGTGTACGTTTAGAACCAGAACTTGTGTAGGCCAAGCTTTGGTGGTAGGCTAGGCCTCGTTAAAATCACTTCCAATCCCTGCTGCCACATGCGGTCGAATCCGACACGCAAGAATGATTATGGATGTCAACAGCAGTGTGACCACTCACAATTTTTGATGTACCCCAATGTCTGGGTCGAATTACCCAAGATTCAGCAAAAATTGCCCAAAAATTACTCAAGCTTCCTGAAAATGCATTAAAATTTGAAAAATACGTGTTTTTCGCATGTATAGTTTCCCTTTTAGTTCAATTATAAACCAATTTTTTATTGTAATGTTTGTGTTAATTATTAAAATTAATATTCATGAGGTGATAATACAGATAGAAAATTACGCCCTCAGTCGGCCAGTGTTATCAGTAGATTAGTGATCAAGTTTTATTATGCAATGCATTAATTAAGCAAGATCAATGGCAACACAAATCACAAATAAACAATTCTGAACCCATTTTTATAGCAATTAACTGTCAATTAACAATGTTATGTGCACTTCGTTGAGTTTTGCTTACTTGAATCATAGAGCATCTTTGCTATGCTTGAATGGACTGAAATGTACTTTGTTACTTTTTAATTCTTCCTCTATAACAAATTTTTCTTAGTAAAAATAAAATACCCAAGGATTTGAACGGAATACCCAAGAACCCAAGACCAAGTCAAAATACCCAAGATCTTGGGTAAATACCCAAGCAGTGGTCACGCTGGTCAACAGTCAAATTAGACATTTTGCTGCGTTCCAGTGCACCACCTAGCACGGTTCGTAAAAAAAAAACGCGTTACATTGCTCATCCGGTAAAAATGCCTTCTTTTGTACCATGTTTAGCGAACTATCAGACCTCCAAAAACAAAAATGATTTTGAATTAAAAAAAAAATATAATAAAAACACAACCGCCGCCACGAAAAAAGGGAAAATTTCTAGAATGTTGTGAGTAAACAGAAGACGAACACATTAATAAATAACTCTTTTTAATTCATAGGCAATAGCATTCAAATCTCTTTTGGTAGTGTGGTGGTCCTGTTTTACTAAAATATACTGTATTTTAATCATTATATTGAAGAAAAAGGATGCAAAAACTACAGAGATTTACATTAAATAACTTGTGGGCGAGTTGACTTGTGGCCGAGTTGACTTGTGGCCGAGTTGATTTGTGGCCGAGTTGGCTTGTGGACGAGTTTGCTGTAGCCGAACTTTTTGTGACCGAGTTGATTTGTGGCCGAGTTGACTTGTGGCCGAGTTGATTTGTGGCCGAGTTTACTGTGTCCGAGTTGACTTTTGGCCGAGTTGACCTGCACCCCTAGTACACACACCAAATAGGACTAGGTCTACAGCACCCATAGGCTATATTTTTCCTTAATTACTATAAATTGAAAAAAAAATCACTCTCATATTCTGTACTTTATTAATTAATAACTTTGAAAAAATATAATAGTTTAAGGCAACCTCTTATAAATAAATCTCGGATGTTGTGGTGTAGGCCTTATAATAGATTTTTAAAAAAAGAAAGAAAATTTTGTTATATAATCATGGTAATTTCCTGGTTAAAAAAGGTAACAAATGAAAATAATGCAATTTACTACAGAATTATTTGGTATATATAGAGTATAAATTAGGCCTACTCTGGTATAATACGGTACAGTTTAACCTCCCTGTGCGACCACCTATCGTACGTAGGGCCTATTATCACCTCCCTCACACTCATATGGTCCCGTTTGTCTAATCAGTGTATTTGATATTTCTCCACCACTAAGCCCTACTGTATAACGACTGAGAACACTTCTTGACTTCCTGTATTTTCTTATGATACATTAAGCGACCACCTTAAAAGTTCGCATGGATATCTTTCGACAACCAATCTAAAATCGATCAGACGCGGAGATGGTGCACAGTTAGCTACGTCAAACTAATATTATAGGCGCACAACACTATTAAAGAAAAACAACATAAAAGCGATAATAAGATAAATAGGCCGCTTTTTCACGTCCAATTTGTAGTAATTAACTAATTCCCCCGTGATATAACAAGGGGTGGCGCCAGGATTTGCCCGACATGGGGGCCGAGGTCCCAGACGAGGGGGCCGATGCCCCTGACGAGGGGTCAGATTTCCCCGACGAAAGCAATGTGGGCGTGGTCGAGCTTCGATTAAACTAATAAAAGGTTTCGAAAGTGGTACAGGGGACGAAGCCCCCGAAAATTGTAACAATTCAGTTGGTTTCAAAGGCTTATTTAATCGATTTTAGAGTCTACTAATATGTAGAAAATACATATAATTTTTTTTCTCTCCGACGAATTGTTCTCCCCGTCGGGGAGTATCTGTCTCTTATACACATCTAGATGTGTATAAGAGACAGGGGCAGCACTCCACGACGGGTAGGTGGGGAGGGGGTGCTGGCGCCACTCCTGAATTAACAACATGTCAGTTTAAGACCTGTTTAAAGATAGGCCTTCATCGGAGGTTCATGATTATAAAGTGACTGTACCCTTGTTGGTGTAACCATGGAGGGTATAAGGCCGAAATCTCTATCGGGTACTGCCACAGGTCTAGCCTAGCCTATATTATTGTTAATATTATATTATACTGTATATTATTATAATTAATAATTATAATTATTTCTAATTAAATTATTAAATATATACCGTACTCGCGCGAATAAGCGCTCCTCTCGAAAAACCGCCCCTCCTAACGTGAAAATTTCCTTAAGCGCCCCGTTTGAATAAAAATATTATTAATATAGCCAATTTGAGTTTCATTGCAGGCCTATGTTTAATTTAAGCACCCGAACAAAGGGGCGCGAATTCGCAAAATAAAGGTGATTTTTAACTAATTTTCGGGGAGGGGGAGTAGATACGCCACTGATGTAAGTACAGATTCAGGCTTATATTTTACACAATTTTATAGCTTATGGTGATATAAATCTAACAAAGACCCTGCAAGTCTACCCATACACTTTTAAATCAGTGTAGAAAACTAGATGATGTCGGTACGATATTTCTTTAAAAAAAAAAATAACATATACAAATAGTAAATAGGAAGAAAGTATTATCGTGCATGATACGAAGGTAAAACGTTCCCAACGTCAACACTTGAATAAGGGAGGTACGTGTGTCCCGATTGTCATGTGCACGTCTTGAAATCAGGAAGTGATTGAAGATAATTTCGTACGTGCCATCTTGATCCAAATTAGTGACGCCGGGGCAATAGTTGATCGTAACGGTAGTGGCTATCGGCACTGCTGCAGTGCCGATTTGACACTGCCGAAGTGCGAAAAAAGGCTGCTGTTTTCTATCGGCACTACCGCAGTTCCAAAAAGCTGCTGTTTACTATCGGCACTGCCACAGTGGGAAAAGCTGCTGTTAATTAAGCAAATCGATGTTTTTTATCGATAACTGACATTATTATCAATAATTGATTAGGTCTAGCCTAGCCCATATTATTGTTAACATAATATTATGTATGTTTTACAATTAATAATTATAATTATTTCTAATTAAACTATTAAATATATACATTATATTAAGCCTAGGCATACATGTATACATAAAACAAAAAGTAAACAAATAATAATAATAATATTAATAATAATAATAATATAATAATAATTTTACGATAGTTTGATTAATGAGATAATAATAATCAGCATATTAAATAAAATTAAATAAGAATGTTTTCTACCGTACTGTATTTGATTCTGTTTAAAAAATAATCTTATATATTATAAGTTCATTTTCTGTGATAATTTTATTCACATAGGCTAATTCATGTTTTCAAAATAAATAATATATATAAAATAATAATAATAATAATAATAATAATAATAATAATAAGAAGAATGAAGGTTCTCGAATAATGCTTAAATAAAGAATTAATAATACTTCATACTTCAATAGGCCTATTTACGATAGTGTGATTAATCAGACATTTGTTGATTAATTTATAGAAATATATAATAGGTATATACCATTATTAATGATTCAGCATATTAAATCAAATTACATCGTCAATGTAAAATCTTCTTATAACATAAAAGTTTCATTGTAAATTCTATGATAGGCCTAATTTAAACCAAATAATTTATGTTTTCAATTATTTAAGCATTATAAAATTCAGTGGGCCTAACGCTGGATGTAAATGTAAAACAACAAAAGCAAACTATGCTAATACTATCGCGAGATTAATGCGTATTTTGGTAAGCATAGCTCAGGATGGTTCACACAAGGTGACAAATCCGTCGAAATGCTGTATAAATATACTGCAATTATTTAAATACTTTTCACACGAACTTACAAATATCTTAATAATTAGTTAATTATTAATTAATTAATAGATTGATATAAACATTGTGACCTATAAGATAGTATAATACATACTCCAAGTATCGAAATGCACACCATCGTGTCGGGATTCAATATTTCGATATTAATTGTGTCATTCGATATTAAAATATCATTCGATATTAATTATGTCATCATAGGACATTGTATATGTCATCATATGATGACATAATTAATGTCGAAATATGGAATCCCGACACGATGGCGTGTATTTCGATACTTGGAGTATGTATTATACTATCTTATCTGAGATTAATCAGTGGACCTTTAATATATAGGCATATTTTAATTAATAAATACAAGGATCCTGCAACGATTTTTTTCAGGTCAGAAATAGGCATCAACCNAACCTGTCTCTTATACACATCTAGATGTGTATAAGAGACAGGTTTGGGTCCTGGTGGAGGCGAAGTTTCTTTTCTTCATTCTGATCAGAATTTTCTCCTCTGTTACGTTTATTATCTGCTATTTATTATATGTTTATCATCGCTATTTCCATGAACTGGCAAATACGAAAATTGCGATTGAAAAATTACTACTTTTTTATACCAATTTCTTACCTGAAAAATTTATTGCAGGATTCTTTTATTTATTAATTAAAATATATTAATAAATTGTACTTATAGGTCACAATTTCTATATCAATCTATTAATCAATTAGTAATTAACTAATTGAAGATATTAATTAAGATTATAATAATTAATAAACTCGTGAATTTCGTGTGAAAATAATTTAAATAATTGCAGTTTATTTATACTGCATTTCGACGGATTCGTCACCTTTTGTGAACCATCCTGAGCTCGGCTTACAAAAAATACGCGGTAATCGCGCGATAGTATTAGCATTTGCATGCATGAAAACACTTTGTCGATGCTTTACTTTTTGTTTTTTGCTTTTGTTTTGTTTTACATTTTCATCCAGCGTTAGGCCTAATGAATTGTTTAAATGCTTTAGTAGTTAAAAACATAAATTATGTGGATTAAATTCTAATAGAACTTACAATGAAACTTATAATTTATAAGATTATTTTTTGAAACAGAATAAAAATAGGTAACATTTTATTGAAAAAAAGAAAACAGATTTTACATCTATTTTGATTTAATATTATGCTTATTATTATTATTATTATTATTATTATTATTATTATTATTATTATTATTATTATTATTATTATTATTTTATAAAAAAACTGCCGTGTTTTGGCACTGCGGCAGTGCCGAAAGGAAATCGGAGCTTTTTTCGCCCTGCGGCAATATGCCGATAGAAAAATTAACAGCTTTTTTTCGCACTGTGGCAGTGCCGATATAAAACAGTAGCTTATTCGCACTGCGGCAGTGCCGATAGAAAAAACAACTTTTTGGCACTGCGGCAGTGCCGATAGAAAACAGCAGCTTTGTTTTTTTGCACTGCGGCAGTGCCAATAGCATCAGCCGACTGAGAAAGTCAGTTGTTTTTATGAAAGGGATGGTTCAAAGTTCGTGATAATTGGGATAATTGTAAAAGAAAAAACGAACATGCTAATACTTTTGTGAATAATTTGAGGGATACCGGCGTCAATATGGATGACAACACAGTTTGTGAAAGCAATAATACTGGGCCTAGGCTCCCCACCACGTCTGTGACAAGTTCAGCAGGTGACTGTACCGGCGGAGGAGAACGTGTTATCTCTACCGAGGATCCATGGAACGAAGATGACAACAGCGGCCTACGATTATTTGATAGTAATAATTTTAATGATACTTCACCAAAGGAAGTTACTAATGACGGTATACGTGAGATCACAAAAATGTCTAAAGATGTGAAAATTACACAAGAAAATGATAATAATCAAGAAATTAAAGCATCTCAGAATGTGAATTTGAACAGCAGAGTGTCAGATCTTGACAATAAATTTTTGGAAGCAAAGGACAACCTTGTTAACACAGATGGACCTAGTACATCAAACGAGTGTGCAACGAACAGTATTTTAAATCCTGATGAACACATAACTACTGCTAACCCTAAACCTAAACATACATCAGGCTTAGGCCTAGTACAGGGTGTAGACGGAAGCCAAGTTGCTTCAGAAACAAATAAAGAAAAAATGTTAGTTGCAGAGAATAGTGGAAATGCAGGTCTATCTAATAAAATGCCTTTTGGTTTGTTTTCTGCTAGCAGTAACACTAAAGTTTCAAGGGCTTGCACAGAAACCAAGAATGATGAACGCCAATCAGATGTTGACTCTGATTCAGATGAAGAGGAGAAATTTAAAGGGGAACGCATCATTGATTTAGGTGGCATTGAAATCCCAGAGATGTTGTCGCCAAAGTCCCGGATTGATTACATTAATGATATGCGAAAACAACTTGGTAACTTGATCACAAAAGGCCCTAGTATTGTTGCAACAAACCTTCTTCATGGTGTGAGTGAACCACCAATCGGAAGCCCTAAAGACAAACTAATGACAGATATTGATACATGGGAAGTCCTCACACCGTACAGCTCAAGTTCAATGGCTGATTTAATAAACCCAAGTGGGCAAACATTACACGGTACGATAACAAGGGAAGGGGAAATGATTTCTTTTGTAGCTGATGATATTATGGAGAAAATACGCCAAAGTGCGAGCCCTATGGCATCATCAAGGGGTAAGATCAGATATCTTGAGAATAGCTTGGTGTCTGCATGCTACCCGTATGGAAATTAACCAAAATGATTTGATTAAGTAAAATATCCCTACAGAGTGAATACTGAGGCAGGTAGCCGAGGCAAATCCTTTGTTGCAGATTAGGCAAGACTTTTTATACCTTGTTTCGTGAACTTATTTTTTTTAAGATCGTCAAAGGAGTGCAGAAAAAAAAAGGGTTTGCCAAAAACATTCAGACGGAGGAGGAAATAAAATTCTATTGTTGAATGTAAACAGTGTAGTAATGAGATGGTTATAAATGATTTAAATTTATATAATTTTATTAGGAAGAAATATACTGGCTTATTTTTGGAGATTTCAAGGCAGCAACGTGCGTAATAACAGTAAAGAAAAAAACATTTCCATTTTTCTGTTGTGGGCGGTGGGTTCGCGAAACAAGGTTTGAAAAAGTATTGCATTACATTGGAACTGCAGTACTGTACATGTCAAAGTTTATAGCAGAAAGTTAAAAGTGAAGTTTACACAAATCAACATTCTATATGGCATCAGCTTTTGATTTATTATAGTTTTGTTAAAAATGTGTGTTGCTAGCTTTTGCAGTATTTCTTGGTTTAATGCATTTTGTTTTGTCATACTGTAGTTATTAGAGTCTCTCACAGTAATTTTTATTTTTTTTTTGTTGTTAGATTTGTAAGTGAGTCATTAGAGATTATTCCTCCCAGTTTTTACTATTTGGTCCAAATTGCTAAACTCTGGCCTGGCTTAATGTTTGTATTAACCTAATGTATGTATAAGCATGATAGATCATGATTCCAAGTGAACCATTGGTGTTTTAAGCAAGCTTTACAGTATGTCACTGTTGCAGCCCCACTCAACTGACCTCAAATAGTTGCTGGTAGCGCTTATACTTTCACCCTTAACTACAAGCAACTACTGTATAAGCATGTAGGTAAAACTAGTTGCGACAGAGCACTTAAATCACTTCCGATTGTAGATGATCTACTACAGGTAATTGCCATGCAACGGTACCGTAATTTGATAAACATAAACCCTACAGTACAGTCATTTATGACACAGTTAATAGACTAGAATTACTAGGTTGATTACTACTTCATTCATGGATTTATTCAATATTCAATATACAAAATTCAGGCAAAAAAAGTTAAAATTACAATTATGTCATAAAAATAACAAAATTACCATAAAAAATGAGTAAGTGAATAAATAAATAACGGGGGAACAGAAGGCAGTATAATGTATTGTAGACGAATCTAAATTGCACATTATTTACATTGCCCTGGTTGGGGTCATTAAAACAGTACATTAAAAAGCGAAATTACACGATTACAGGTAAAAACGAGTAAAAAGAGATGTAAACTAAATTGATCACATCAACATTAAATCAAATTTAAACATGGATATATCAAAAAATTAGACAGTACATTAAATCAAATTACAAGACAGAAACTCAAATGATCACATCAACACCAAGTCTTATTCCGATATCCCTCAACCAGAGTGGACATAAAAATTGATTGGATCATTATTGATCAAAATTTACAAATGTATAAATAATGTTACTTGTTCAAAAGTTTAACAAAGTAAGGTATCGGGCTTCTTCGGAACCGTTCTGTTTTCGAGCATAAAGTGGAGTGATCCTTTGAGTTTCTAAGATTGTATTTAACTAACTCGTGCCTTTGTTTGGGTAGCCAGGTTTGAAATATTGGGTGATGGGCAAGCTTCTGTGCAAATTTGAGACATAAGCTTTCTCTGTGTTTACATAATTTTTCTATATTCAACAGTGAAAGTGCTTGATCATAATGATCATATTGGTTTCCCAAAATAATCCTGAAGGCTCGTTTTTGGACGTTTTCAAGCATAGAGCTCAATTCAAGAGTGAGACCCGCATTCCACACAGGGACACCATATTCTAAGAGAGATCTTACATATCCTTTATAAACTATAATCAGTTCTTCCCAGGACAGGTGGAATTTTTTTAGTAGTTTCAACATGAAAAGCTTCCCATTAGCTCTTTTAACTAAGTCAGATATATGTGAATTCCATTTAAGATCGTTAGAGATAATGATACCTAGTACTTTAATTATTTGAACTTCTTGGAGTGAAACATTGTTAATAGTAATATTTGGTATTAAGGGGGGTGTTTTCATGAAACACACTTGCATATGGGCACACTTATTCACGTTAAGAGACAAGCCATTGTTAGCTGACCAGTTTTCCAGGACGTCAACCAATTGTTGAGCATTGTTTGTTGGGTTCCTACCAATAGAATTAATTATCAATGTCATGTCATCAACATATTTAAGAACCAAATGTTGTTGATTGTTAAGATTAGTTAAGGCATCATTTATCTGGACCATGAAGCATAATGGGCCTAATTTTGTCCCTTGTGGGACACCCCCATTTAACAATTTTGGTTCAGATAAGGTGCCTTTGTATCTCACTGATTGGCTTCTATTGTTTAAGAAATCCCCAATCCAAGGGAGCAGAAAGGCATTAACATTTAGATCAATGAGTTTACGCATCAATATGTTATGGTTTAAGATATCAAAGGCCTTTGAAAAATCTGTAATAACAACAGAACTGTGAGCTTTAGCATTGTCTGAGTGACTGCATAAATTGTTAATTAACTTGATGAGATAATGACAGGTGGACATGCCACTTCTATTTCCAAACTGGTTTTCATCGATCTTGTCTTTGATGTCGTTAAGAAGCCAGTTCGAAATAAAGTGTTCAGCTACTTTGGAAAAATGATCAGTTAATGATATTGGTCTAAGTTTGTTCCAAGTGGCTGGTGAAGATTTGGGTATTGGTACAACAACAGCTTTTTTCCATTGGTTTGGAACTTTGCCTTCTTTAAAGGAGGAGTTAAGAATTTCAGTGAGAGGGGTAGAAAGTTCACAGGCAAACTCGCGAATAATGCGAGCGGGAAGACCATCAGGACCTGATGCTTTAGTTTGATTTATGTGTTTTAGACAGTTGAAGACCTCAAACTCTTCTATTTGCGGTAGCGGCCTCTTAGACGGTAGATATGCTGGTAGAGATTTGGTGTTGAGTGGTTCTACGTTAAAGGAAGTCGCAACAAATGCATCATTGATAGCATTAGCTACTGCTAAGTAATCCTCAGGATCCACATCCGGAGGGGGGTTGATAGTAGTTTGGTCAGACTTTTTATTAGTCATAATTTTGATCTCACGATACCATTTTGCAGGATTTGTAGTTCTCAAATTTCTAATGCGCTCATGGTAAAATTGGAACTTGGATTTTTGCGACATTATATTAATTTGGTTTCGAACATCTTTCCATCGTGGGTTATTGTTGGCATGCAATTTTTGTCTTTTCTTGATTAATGATTTAATAGTACTGTTCATCCACGGTTTGTCGTTGACATGGCTTTTGACCAATTTGGATGGAAAAAAGTGATCTATCGCTTGTTTTAGTTGATGATAGAAGGCATCACACTTTGCTTGGGAGCAGTTGGCATTATTTATTTCAGTCCATTTGTGTGTGGTGATCCAGTGTCCAAAGCTATTAATTGCCGATTCTTTCATAGGTCTGACCAACCTAGATCGTGTGCTGTTAGCTTTTTTTATTAGTTTAGATTGCCATAAAATTCCATTGTGATCACTCATTCCTAGAGGTGCAATTATTTGAGGTGAGTTATATTCCTTGTGGATGTTTGTGAAAATTTTGTCAAGTATAGCATTACCACGAGTAGCATGATTGACAACTTGGACCATTGATTTACACTTGATTTGGGTGACATCTATCCGGTTAAAATCCCCTGCGATAACGATGCCAGCAAAGGGGTAAGCAGATTGGATGAAGTCCACAGATTCGACTAGGCTAGTAATAAAATCCTCAGAAGTGCAATAATTCAAAAAAAAAAAAAAAAAAAAAGTTTTTCTTTATTTTCATTACAGTACACCTGCCTCTGCCTTGAAATGTTTTCCAATTATATGACAAAAGCATTTAACCCTCCGATTACTACAGTACACTGTTCTGTTTCATTCACCAATGGAATTTTGTCGTCCTAATGTTTTTGGCAAAACTGTTTGCTAAATAAGAGAAGGCAAAATTTTATTTTATTTTTTTCTGCGTTCCTCTGACGATCTTTAAAAACAAAATAAGTTCGCAAAACAAGGTATAAAAAAGGATCGCCTAAAAGATATTTGTAGTTTTATTTTGAAAGCATTGCATAGGTTTTTCCATGCAATATGCATCAGTTTTTGCTATTGGAATCCCTACTGTATGTAAATTTTTAAACTTTGCTCAGGTATAATATTTAGCCAACATACATTTTTTACTTATTTTTAGGTTCACCAGCAAGCTCTGTGACAGCTTCTGCCCCAGACACTCCTCTGTTGCCATCACGGGCAGAGTCATTCTCAAGGACTGCTATTCCACCAATCGACCCAGCTGTAATCACAGACATTGAGAAGCACTGTGTAAAAGTAGCAGACAGCCTAGACTTAATGCTAGGAAACCTGACTGGTAGTATACACAATGTGAGTTAACTGTAATGGTGGTGGTGGTGACATGCAAGAGTAGGGTTCTGTACAGATTGTTAATTATTATTATTACTATTATTATTATTATTATTATTATTATTATTATTATTATTTTCATTACTGTATGTTATTGATATAACAATAATTATTATTGTCTATTTATTATTATTTTATTTATTACATAATAATTGATAACAATAATGCATATTAAATGATAATATATGATAATTAAATATCTATTTTAATACCGGTAATTATAATTAAGATAATGGTAGTTATTGTTAGTGTTATTTTTTGTAATAATTACTGCATAAAATAAATTTTTTCTATTGCATATTTTAAAGACTTTTTTTTTTATGAAAGTCTTTAATGTCTGAAACTAATACTGTATACGTATTATTGTTGCTAGGAAAATATCTTGTATTCCCAAATTTTTATTTAAAGATTCTTACTGTAGTAAGATGTCATCACAAACTGAGTCTTGTGGTATTTTAATGTCTATAGTATCTTGAATCATGTCCCTGTACGTTGAGAACAATGCATATAATTTTGAAATGTCTGAAAAAATAGTAAATAATCCCTGAAGATAAACAACTGATACATTTTCTTTAAGTTTTCCTTGTCAATTCTAAAAAAAAAAAAATAAAAAAAAAACAAACCTTAATCTATGTATATCAACTCAGAATCTTTGTTATTGTAAAGGTGTTAAAACTTAACAGAAACTCTAAACACAAATTTTTGCCATACTATAATTTCGTATATTAATTTCTTGATATGACATTAACCTCTAGCATACAACACAACTCACAAATTAATACAGTAAGCAGCTATGTATTGCATCTTTTAAACCTGAAGTACTCTGTTAAATAAAATCATTGAATTATAAGAATCGATAATATTATGTGTTTGATTGCACAAGCCTTTGTTGATAGTAATGATTGCATTTATCTTAATACTGTAATACCCTATGATAATGTATTAATTGATGCTTTATTCTTTAGATGTCTGCAATTACTGTTGGCCACATTCAGACTTACAAACATGCAGCTGATAAAGTCGGCTTTACAGTAGATCAAAGTGTCAAGGTAAGTCCACTGAAGCATTAATGACTAAAAGAATTATCAAAGGAACAATACAATATTAATCTATGCTTAGTCCAGGATAAAGGAAACCAGAAGATCGTTCCTTCACAGGTGGGTAAACAATATTTTCAATGACATGGATTTAATATTGTTTAACTTTTCTTGTTGGTAACTATAGGCTATGTATTCTTTGATGGCAAAATGTGAACAGCTGAATAAGATGATGGAGCCAGTTCAAGATCTTGCCCAGCAAATGTATCCTTATTTTTAATAATTTTTTTAAATGAGTTGTTTTATGTATTACAGTGACATAAACAGGGTGTGCAAAAATGCGTTCTCTCTCTCCTCCCCTCCCCACTTCCCCAGCAGCAGCCAAAAAAATAAGAGATTAAAAATTTATAAAACTGCCAGGTTTTATGACCCTTGGGACGTATGGTAGGTAGAGGAACACTATCCCTTCCTCTCTAGGAACATATTGGTGGTGGCAACCGTTATTACGATTATGATAATGATAATTATAATGCATTAAACTGTGACAATTTATAGTTCAAAGGCGTAGAAATTTACTGGGATTCATAATCCATACATGATTGTCTAGAGCTGCGAATGTGTTCTGTACAGTCAATGTTTGATCCGTTGACCAATTTTCAGCTTTGTCTAGACTATCAACTTTTATTTGATGAAAAAATCTGTTGCATGCCCATATAATATAGTCATGGTGTGCCTATATATAGTCATGATGTGCCTATATATAGTCATGATGTGATGTCATTGTCAAATGTTTTTTTTTTTTTTTTCAAATAAAATTTGGTAGTCCTAACAGGGCTTTATAATAGGGAACTTTCGATTTGTGCGACGAAGCGACGCTGGAATGGAATCACTCATGCGTTACCGTCCTACCTAGCGTCCTACGTTCTCTGCGTACGTGGATTTGGCCAAATTGCGTTCCAGAACCTATTCGATGAGGTGACCTTAATGTTCTCGCATGCACAGATGACATTTAGTGACGTCGTTAGTTCTACGTCCTACCATAGTCGTGCAATCGAAAGCTCACTAATATGCCTTGGCATCAACCACATTGTTCCGCTATTAGCATTTAGTGTCACCCAGCTATTACCGTATTTAGAACTGCCCTTTTCCCTACTTTTAATTTTTAAATATTATAATACATGAGTGTTTTGATCTTAACTCTGGAATTAGCAAAGGAATTAAGAGATTACTGGATGAATTAGAGTCGAAGTGCAAATGATTCCTGAGATTTTGCAGTAGCACTATAAGCAAACAGTAAGAGATTTGACCATATTAAACAGTACAGTACTTGTATTAATAAGGGATTAAGATCATTCTTACTGAAGTCAAAGGCAATTTAAAGGGAGCGTGAATTCTCAACAAATTGTAAACACAGATAGTTTTGCCATAGTGTTTGGATATCAACAAGGTGATAATGATATTTTTTATGGACTCTTTCATACTGAAATTGCAAGTGGATAGAATGCATGCAGTTGCACCATATAAGCAAACAGGTTATGTAGATGTTGATGCTTTAAAGGAACATGCATTTGGAAAACAGGGATGAAACAGGATTCATGCCCCATGTCCCGCTCTACCCATCAACAGGGGTCCCAAGCTGCAAGAATTCACTTCTGGGAGATCTACATTAGTTTTAGCTTTCATACTGTAACACATCTAATTTTATGTTGCTGCACATGCTGATACCCATCAGCACTGAATTCTGTGAGACAATTAATAATGAAGTAGTATTCATTCAAGTATTATTGGATTGGTTATTTTCTGTGAGATCTTGCTTGTTTGTGGGAGATTCCCGTAACCTGTGTGAGACTTGGGACCCCAGCATTAATGGTGTAAGTACTTCATTAGCAATGGGATTATAATCCGAGCAAGCATACTTTCAACAAGGGAGGATCGACCTACCTTTCAATCGGTTGTGGAATGACCACCTTATCTTAGAAAAGGAAAATAATAATTGAGATAATTATCACTGAACAAAATATAATATATAACTGCATCTATATAAAAATATGTGTCTAAAGTGCTCAGAAATGGAATCTAATAGTATTCAAATTGGTTTGAGGTGAAGTAGTAAATATACTTCATGAAGTGTTGGATAATTCGGACGTGAAGTTCTCTTGACGTGAAGTAAAACTCACTGCTTTACCAAAATACAACCATGTTGAATTGTTTTACTGTATCTCATAAATATTAAACCACAAACCATCCATCTACATTAGTCATTTCAATCCGTGAGGGTAAAATTATGCAGATTAAGCTTAAGCTTTACATATAGGCGAAGGTGCAGTATTCGATTGTGTAGGCCTAAAAATGGTACGCACAGGGAAGTAGTGACGACCACAACGCATCCTTTCATATTATATGAGGTATAGTAATATCGAATAGTACTACATAATTTTAAAACATTAGCTCTCCCCCAGCCCCAAATGTAACTCATCTTGTTACTGAACCAGTAACAATTTCGGTCTCAGTCCGCACCTGCTCGCAATGTCATGTAATTACATCGCTGGAAGTATTGTGAAATCTACATTCACCATGGTTATGAAATTTATGTAGTAGTAATAATTGTAAAAATAGTAATATATTGAAAATATAATTAAACAATATGGAAAATTATTAGTAGAATTTTATTATTTTGCACCTATATTTGATTTGCTTATCTGTCTATGTATTTATCTGTTCGTTTGACTGTCTATCCACCCATGCATTTATCTATACAATGTGTTTTGTAATGTAATGTTAATATATCCAGTATAGGAATGACAACCATCTCCTTAACTTAATATCCACTAAAGTGTTTCAGTTACAGCAAAAATTACTTGAAGGCACAACACTTAACAAGCAGTTGAACTCTCTAAAGGGGACACCTTCACGACCAAAAAAAGTTTCTCTTAGGGGTGACCCAACGGGGGTTCTAGTACTGTACGGTATGTAACACATGCTGCCTTGGAATTTTCCACATAATTTACATACTTGGTTTTCACGCATCGTTTACTTTATATTTTTACTTTTTCCTGCTGTTACAAATACACACACACACACACACACACACACAAATCCAACTATTCAATACTAGTAAGCATAAATCTTTATTACAGTTGTAACTTTCATTCAAAACAAATGCATAGGAAACCTCACCTGAGCTCAAACCAATCTGTTTACTTTGCTTATTGGTCAATGAGTGAACAACCAAAACGAATACTATATAGCAACTATCTTAAGAAATATACCACATTTCAGTGGTTCATAATACTATCACCTAGACATACACATTTTATTTTATTTATGTTTTGATGAGTTACCGGTAATCAACTTAATAAACATTTACATCTAAAGTTGTGCGTATGTACTTTATTTATTTTTTATTTATTTATTCTTTAATCTGGGTTTACCGCTTCATTAACATGCTACTGTTCTCACAGAGAGCCCATAAGACATTGAAATAACAAGAGAACGACACAGAATATAAAAAAATCATCAATGTCATCGGTAAAAGAATGATGGAAAAGAATTACCTATCCCTCGCATTACAACTTTGATTTTACCTCAACAAGTATAGTTATTACAAATTCGACACGATATAAGATTGATTGTAACTGGTCATCTAAAACTGGTCGATAAATTAAAATATATAAAATATGTCAAGAACTATACAAGAGGAACATTTAAAGTACTTTAAAAAGTTCACTTGATATTCATTAAGTTAATAAAATAATTAAAAGCATAGTTTAAAAAAAAATTGTATTAAAATTAAATAAATTAGTTTTTTAAATGGTGAAATTGTTATACAGTACATAGTGGGTGCCTATTTGGTTATATCAAAAAAATCTATTACATGTGAAACAAACTTTAACCATACAGTACAATATATCATGCTTAGTAACAAAGTACGATAGTCTTTATGGCTTTTTATATAAAACTAACGATTTTTGTGAGGTGTTATATTCGTTATTTTTTTGGGTGCAATGGGTTTCGACTACTTCTCTGATATCGTTATTTGCCATATTATCACACTCTAGATCACGCAGCTTTATATGGTCATTGTCGGCAGCCATTCGCCCATTTGCCTCGTGACAGTTTTTGTTCATTATAATGTTGATTTCAACATTGTGTATGTATAAACTAGGCTGTGTTTGCAACTGATTCAAACGTTTTGTTTTTCTAAGAATATTTTCAAACAAATCTCGTTTTCGGCGATCATTCACTGCTTTCTTGAATCGATTTGACCTTCCATATTCAACATCACGGGGAAACTCTGGAGCAATCGACTGCACAGGTTCATCGCACTGGGGTATGATAGGCTGTGGAGCACTCTTCTCTCCTTCTGTCATTAATATATTGACGAATGGATTAATTGCACTAGGATAACTTGTGCTTTGGTGGCTTCTGTCAATAGATTGATCAGAATATTTCAGTTGTGCCTCGTATTGGACTAGGTTTGTATCCGGTGAAGATGGTATTCTTGAAGCATCTATGCCATATCCTGGCGGTTTCACACGAGTAGGAGACGACAAATAGAATGCAATAATACATAGGCCCAGAATAATTGTCATCGATACTAATCCAACCACTATTAACGTAGTAATGATCCATTGGTGTTCCCCACCTTCTGCACCGTCTTCTTCGTCTTGCGTAACTGAAATTATAGTGAATTGTTTCAGTAACATAAAAAAAAATGGGAAAAAATATTGGAAATAATAGGAAATGGCTTATGCAATTTATGTTGGTATGGGGTAAGTGGTGTTAGAAACTATTTCATTTCATTTATATCTTCAAATTCAGTAAAATATACACACAAGACAAACAAGACAAAACGACAATACCCCTGTCGGTAAAACAGAACACAAAATTTATTGCTGTAAACTGTTTTTCCCATATTATATTACCCTATACATAAAGGAAGGCCTAAGGCCAAAAAAACGAAGACCCCCAATTTTTACTCTATGCAAATATTTCAAAATCCAAATAAAACCATTGTCAAGTTTGCAATTCTTTATTTACACGGGAATATTATAAAATTAAAGTAAAATAACCAAGAGTCTTCGTTTTATAGAAACTTAAAATCTAAAATCCTCTTAGCTTAGTATTCAAAGTGAGCAATTAAAATATTAAAATTTTGTTTCATTTATTATCAACATACCAAGCGTAGGTTTGCAATACGTAGTCCTATTTGATTTGAAAAGCTAATGAAACAAATACCATGTCTTATTCAATTGCAAACTAATAAAAAATAAAGTACAAGTTTACTTACATTCAGGTGTTGTTATTTCGTGGCTTTGTGCAAATTGATTGCAAGCATATCCAAGAAGCAGTCCTAACAATTGTTTGATATGAAGCTGGAATATAGTCATTGCACTGTAATTCACGTCACTCTTTCCTTGTTTCTCAAATTCTGTAGAAGCTATACAAGTAATTGGCACATAACAGTTCGTATTCTACTGATTCAATCTTCATTTTGCTGATTATTTATATAGCTAAGATGGAAAGTCTTGGTGATCATGACCTTATTTCACGTTTCATGTGTCGAACTCTAAAATTCTACATCAAAGGGATCAGTAAAGAAAGGTCGTTCTTAATCTAATTTTGTTGTATATATATATTTTTGTTTATAACAAATTAATTATAAAATTAGGTTCCTTGAACTTACAGAAATGTATACAAAAAATAGCACAATGGTGAATTTTGCTTTTGGGAGGACACGTGACTATTTTCTTTGTACGAAATATTCAAGGCTACTACAGAAACAGAACCCAAATGAGTGATCATTATTCTCGTTCATGAACCAAAACAGAGCCCAACACAGTAAATCCTTCTTTTCTAATGAACCATGAACTTGGGGAATCCTGATAGCTATTCCTGATTTTAATCAATATCCTCGTCGTCATCGTCATCAACGTCACCATTTTCATTATCGTGATAATAATAATAAAACAGCAGAAAATGAAAAACAAATTAAACTTAGCCGTAAAACACTGTATCCATAAAATAACCACAAATGGGCAGGAACCAGCATTACCTGCAGTGGCGGCGCCAGTGTCTAAAATCTGAGGGTGGAAAGCTAAGTGAGGGGAAAGTTGAAATTCTAGGTCGGGGAAATATGCTTGGGTGGCCAAAAGTGGGCGTGGTAAAAAGCTCTTGACGAATTGTGGTTTGTCTTCTTTTTTTCGGTGGTGGGGTGGGGGTGACTGGTTGAAGG